AATTTTATATTTTTTTTTCCATTTTTATTTATTTTTTATTTTTTACTTAACTTTTTTGCTATCACACAGGGAATAACAATCCCCTGTGTGATAGCATTCAGAGGGGACAGACTCTCTTTATGAGCCTGCCCTCCCATACAGAAGATAGAGCACACATGTGCCCTATCTTCTGTACAGCTCAGGTTGCGACAGCTGTCACAGTAGCGCTGTGAGTACAGCAGTCCTGTGTCACTGATCAGGACTGCTGATTCAGGTTCTCTGGCACCCTGCTCTCCATCCTGAACTGCCTTGCTGAGGGCTGGGGTCCCCCCAGAAAAGCAGAAGACCCCGAAAACCACGGCCACAGAAGAAGGCAGCGGACCATGGAGGGAGGACAGAGAACTCACGGGCAGGCTGCATACAAGTGATTTCAGCGGCTGAAATCACTTGTATAAAATGGCTCCCCTGCTTTACATATAACCCTGCTTGCCCGTGGCACAATTGTCATTTCTGCATGTAGGCACGCCCGACGTGTGTTTGTGTTGGTATTTGCATGTATGTAGGGGCGGGGGACTACAAGAAAGAAAACTTTGTATTTCTAAAAAATGTTTTATATGAGACTTTCATTTTTTTAACTTACTTATTTTTTTTTTTTTAGACTTAACTTTATTGCTATCTTGCTGCTAGCACAGTGGTATAGTGGTTAGCCTTGCAGCACGGGGGGTCCTTGGTTCAAATCTCAGCTAGGTCACTATCTGCAAGGAGTTTGCATGTTCTCCCTGTGCTTGCATGGATTTCCTCCGGTTACTCCGGTTTCCTCCCACACTCTAAAGACATGCTGGAAGGTTAATTGGCTCCGGTCTAAAGGTGCGATTACACCTTGTGATTATCGTATGATAATCGTGGAAAATCCCGCGATCGTACGATAATCGCAAGGTGTGTGGAAGGCGTGCGACCTTTTCTACTGTACGGTCGCACGACTTTTGTGTTACGAACATGTTTGAAAACCCGCCGAGAATCGTACGATTGTCGGCGGGGGTGTGGCATGCTCGTACGATAAATGACGAACGGGCCGGTGTGCGCAAGCGCACACTGCCGTTCAGCACTGCGGTCATCGGAAGCCCGCCCCCGTTTGCGATTACCGCAAGTACGATCTGCCTGTCCAAGATGGGCAGATCGTACGTTTTTTTTAATGACCTTACAACCATCGCAAGACAAAAGTCTTGCAATGGTTGTAAGGTGTATGGCCAGCTTTAATTAGCCCTGTATGTATCCATGTGAGATAGGGACCTTAGATTGTAAGCTCCTTGAGAGCAGGGACTGATGTGAATGTGCAAAGCAATGGAAATCACTGCGTACATTGTTTGCGCTATATAAATACCTGTAATAAATAAATAATAATCCCCCTGTGTGATAGCACAGACACAGTGACAGGTCCTCTTCATGGAGACATCAAGGGTCTATTAGTCCCCTAATGTCAAGTAGGAACCTTCCAGAAGTTAATGAAGCAATCTGCTTCATTAGCTTCATCTCCAGCTTCAGCAGCCAGAGAAATGACAGGCTAAAGGAAAAGAGATGTAATTCCCATCACTTCCGTTTTCAGTGATCGGAGGGGGGAGAGGGAGGGGGCGTACACTTCCTGCATCCCTCCCTCACCCTTCCTGCACCATACAAGCGATCGGGTGGGCGCCTGAATGCTTGTATATTTCAAGGGCTTCAGTTTGTGAACTTTTCCCACTCCCAATCGCAAGCAGGAGGGGCGGAGGCACGCGGGAGTGGGAAAGGACATCTATAAACGCCCACCCGCAGTTATATGGCAGCCAGACAGCAAGCGGTTAATAAAGTTATTAAGTGTTGGCTCTCTGTGTATATTTTGTCATTATTTGTGTTAATGATCACTTGGGTGAGTGAGCCTCTTACGTATAGCACAGTATTTATGGAGTGTTTTGTGGGTACAAGGCCGGCGGGTTGTGTATAATGAATACCATATGTAGGCTAACACTTTAACCATGCGCATTTAAGCCCCACCCAATATTTAGCACAATTTAGCCTCGCCTATTTTCACCACAATATGCTGCAGGTGCTGCATGTCTTCTCTGTCTCCAGGTTTCCCTCTTCCTTAAGTTAATAGGTATACATTTAGTTTGGCAAAGGACTGCGTATCATAAACAACTGCCATCAAAAAAATACGTTCTTTTCACCCATTGTTACATCTCGGTGCCGCTATTCTCCTTCAGCCACTTCCTGTGTACATGCACTCTAGCGAGGGCTACATGGCATTTCTTAGGGCAGGTTTCCCGATGGTGACAACAGTGAACCATGCCTGGGTAATGAGTTTTGAAACCATAGAATTATAGAAACCATAAAGAATTGAAAGGGTCCAAGATCATTTATAATTGTTGGTAAATAGGCATATAAAAGCATGTTTCTGGGCAAAGCCACCCCTTCATCAGGGCTAGAGGAACAAATGGAAAGCATTGTCATAATTAGGGATGTCTTGATACCGCTACTAGTATCTGTATCTGGGCCGATAAAGGACATTTTTATGAGTTCTTGTGAAAATGCCTCAATACTAAAAGCCGATACCGGCCCCTTAAATTTTTAAACCAGATCGGCTGCCTGAGGTCTCGCAGCCTGCCGGGGACCTTGCAGTACCTGTTTTTGACAGTACCTGCCTGGTCCTGCATCTCCTCCTCCTCCTTCCCAGCACAGCTCAGGACAGTCTCGCAGCGTACATACAGCCTCGGAACCCTCACAAGACTGGCACCTGCCCCGTTCAGCTCACCACCAACCTTTTCAGCCGGGCACCCACCTGCTCAGCCCATTCACCTCACCACCTGCCCGCAGAGCCCTGGTCCCACATCTCCTCCTTCCCGGCACAGCTCTGGACAGCCCCACAGCGTTCATACATCCCCGGAGCTGGCACAAGACTGGCACCTGTCCCGTTAAGCTCACCACCCACCCTTTCAGCCCGGCACCCACCGTCAGCCCATTAAGCCTAGACACCTGCCTGCAGAGCCCTGGAGAGACCCACATGCAGACCTGGTGAGATCTGTACGCAGCCATGGTGAGAAACTGTCCAAAAATCATTAATCTGTATTGTTTTAGAAAAAAAAGTCACCTGTCCCTTTAAGTAAAAGTATCAGTAATTGGTATCAGCAAGTACCTGAGGGAAAGTACTTGGTCTTGAAAAAAAATGGTATTGGGACATCCCTAATCATAATGATGAACAATGAAGTCTAAAAATGCAAATATGCATAGTGTGTGTCAAAGCCGCCACTTGAAGCCCATGTGACAGGGTGACAACACAGGAGCATGATTGGCAGACAAGGACAGAGCGTTGTCAGGCTATCACAGGAAGTGCCCGAGCAAAGACCTACACGGCAGCATCACCAGGTTTTATTTAATTTTGAAAATACATAAAAACAACTTTTAAAATGCCGTCAACATGTTAAATCTGATTATGAGATTTTAGTGATTGGGTGTACATCTACTAGAACAATAATATATTCTTATACAGCAATGTATGTGATGTCTTTCATTCTGTTAATGCAAGTAGATTTTACACGCGGGGTAACATAACAATGTCCTCCTATTTCTATGTCAGAGAAAAGCGGCGCAACAATCTCTTAAATTGTCCACAACAGCTTCTGAAATAAAAAATATTCCAGCAGAGAGCTGTGATTCCGCGGCACGTTATTACATGCTTTACCGCGGCGGTGAGAGCTGCATCTGTGAATGGTGATGGTGCTACTCGCAAGATGCTTTGATTTCTCCATTACGTGAAGTATTTTCGTAGCTGGAAACAAATTACCACCTGAAATTGTTTCCATCACAAGAATGTCGGCGTTCTGTTCCAGAAAATAAAGCAAGAGAAGTTCCCGGACTTCAAACTCTGAATGTGCTGGGGCGCAGTGGCGTCACAAGGGGGGTCCGGCCCGCACCCGGGTGACACCATTGGAGGGGTGACACCAAAATGACTGACAGTCATTTTGGTGTCACCCCCCTCTGAAAAGTCGGGCGCTCGGTCATGGACCGAACGCGCGACAGTATCAGGAGAGAGGAGGGGACCCGGCGGCATACCTTATCCCGCCGGGTGACTGTCCCCTCCTCTCTCTGCCGGCGTCCATCACCAAGATGGCCACCGACAGGTATCAGAATACTGCCGCGCGTGCGCGATGACGTCATCGCGCGCGTAATGACGCCACGCGCATGCGCAGTGACGTCTCGGCGTGGTGACACTCGGTTACCGCTCCGGGTATCACCCAGCCTCGGGATGCCCCTGCTGGGACGTGTGCAGCAGCAACATGCATAGGAACAATGGCAAGCACAGCTGCCGCGGTGGCTCTGGCCGCTCCAGGTTTGTGGGTCTTTCTCCCCACTCCTAATTGCACCAACTGAGGTATGACCATAGACGTGCCAGTCGTATCATTCCCAATCAAAATTCGGAAGAATTTTACGACATTCGGACACATCTGAATTTCCGAATCTGAATTTCCGTTTCTGAATTTCGGATCCCGTCCAAATTTCGTTCAAAAACTAAACTGAATCGGACATGTGACTTTTCTGGCCAATCAGATGTGTTTTTCGGTTTAATGCATCCGAATGGGTCTGAACACAAATTTTAGTTACGGCAACATGGGAGTCATATACAGTATATCCATATAATACTAAAGCTGAGGCTCCCAGAACCGAATGGCATTCGGGAGCTGCCAATGCAATTCGGAAATTCGGATCCCGAATGCCATTGGGGTCTGGGAGCCTCAGCTTTAGTAATAAATGTATATGGCTTCCAGTCCTGAATGATATTCGGGATCCGAATTTCTGAATGGTATTCAGGAGCTTCCCAATGCAATTCGGAAATTCGGATCCCGAATATCATTC